TGTCAGTGGAAAACGTTAACCCGAGAAGGCGCAACAAGTCACTCTCATGGAGGCTAGTACCGGCCATACCGATAGAAGGTAGAAAAGGTTCTTACAGACGATTAATAGAAAGTAGTTTTGTTTTGGGGGCGCTAAAATTAACAAGTCATTCCTTGCTGCGGTTAACAACAGAAAGTAATTTTTTAGGTCAGCTGCCAAATTGACCGAATCGCTCAGACATACTATTAAGATCGAAATAAATGGTTACGTCATCAGCATAGATACCGGGTTATTAGCAATATTAATTGTTAACACTCATTAAGAATGAATTTCGCAAAATCTGAATGACTATGGTTCGTTAACTGTGGCCTTCCATATAAATCTACTCGAACATTCCGAGAAATGATTGAAGAAATCGAAGAAAATCTTGACATAACTAAATAAATAAACTGGATTTGGTTTTTATTTCCTGACAGATGCTCCCTTGGATGCCATAAGAAAACGCTATTTCCCTTCTCAAAACTGCACCAAATGTTACTTGCGAACATTTTATTAATTGTGTTGTCAGAAAATATTTCTTTCATACTCTGAAGGTAAACATTTCTGATTTCCATTTTTTTTTTTTTTTTTAAAGAAATTGTATTCCCCTTCGGTAAGTTTTCGCTGCATTGCAGCAATAACTGCGGTAATAAAAATAATATATAGAAATCCGAATTATTTATTCATCCACGTTTGTTTACAATATAGAGATCTCTCTGAGATGAATGCAATATCGACATTGAGAAACTCTTGCATATTTTGAAATATAAATGTTCGGGTTGTGTGCTATGTTGAAGCATAAATTCTTAATATTTTCTATGACCAGTTAAAATTTTATTCGGATGCTTCTTTTGATACAAGATATACGACATTAGTCTGTTATGGTCAAGATTTCCGATGAACCCAAATTGACGTTCTTTTGGCAATCTGATTCTAAATCTCATATATATAGTGATGTTATAACATGCATATGTTACAATTTTGAATATATATATATATATATATATATATATATATATATATATATATATATATATATATTTTCATTGAATACAATTTTAATACAATTTCTCAAGCGATCTAATTTTTTTTTTTTCGGATGATAAATTATATAAAACTGTCCGAATGTTCTTTTTTCCGAGTGCTTTCGGCTATACATTTAGCCATTTTCAAGGATTAAATATTTTAACTGTTAAATAAGAAATAGTTTGTTGCATGTATATATATATATATATATATATATATATATATTAGCTCCTGAATTTGATTTCAGTTGAGCACTCTGGGAATGAGGTGTGGGTTGGTAAACAGTGACTATTATAGCTAATATAGCGAGACTCTTCGCGTAAGCGAATTGAGTCACTGTCAGTCACCGGGCATGTTTACAAAAATAAATACGCTAAAAATCTACCTCCATTCCTACCGTGCGCCGACGGCTTAGTGGTTAGAAGCTCCGACTGACACCGGATGTCTAGCCGCACTGATGAGCTGTAAACAGCGAAACAGTCTGTCTGTGGATGACATTATATTAGCTCCTGAATTTGATTTCAGTTGAGCACTCTGGGAATTCCACAGACAGATATATATATATATATACTAGATCAAACCACCCAAAAACTCTGATCAAACACGTTACAAATGACATTGAATGTGGGCTATCTAGAAATTCTTCAAATAAAAATATTTTCGAAGACGAAAAAAAAAGAGTACGAAAGAGCCCTAACAGAAGAGGGGGACAAAACCAGATTTGAATTTAAAGCACAAATAATTCAACCTATATATTGAACAGCAAAATCAAGAGAAACATCAATTTAGAAATGAGAAATATTTATTTATCAATATTTATACGAGAAATATTTTTCAAACTACTTGACAAACACCTGTCGAAAATTTCTGATTTGCACAAAATGTTCAACAAAAACACGGTGAATATAAGTTATAGTAGTACCAGAACATGACGAATTTTAATAAAGATAGCGTGCAAGATAATAATATAACTGATCAAATGCGTAATTGTAGAAATAAAAAAAGTAACCATTGAACGGAGCATGTAAAACAGAAAGGGTAGTCTACAAAGCAGTGGCGGAGAAGGAAAAAGGCCAAAATTGTATTTTGTGTGTACAGAAGGCAACTTTAAGAAAAGATGGTATAGCCATGGCTCAACATTTAAGCTAGAATGTTACAAACATTATACGAAAACAACTAGCCACGTGTAGGTGTTAAAAAAAACGGAAAACCCTTCATATATGTTAGAGTATTTTGAAAAAAGCCAAGCAATACAGCATTGAAAATATTATGTGTAAATTGCGCCAGGGAGAAAAGTTAGCGATTATGTTATATCCAGCGCAAGGCAACTTGTTAAATGAAAGATTGATGTAATGACAGCTTGTAAACATACGAATATATATATACTGGAACACTATGAACCCGGATGAGAGTACACAAATTTATACACTATATTTATTTATTTATATTTTATTTATTTACGTATTTATATATTTATTTATATTTATTTTTATTTATTTATATATTCATATATATATATATATATATATATATATATATATATATATATATATATATATATATATATATATATATATATATATATACATAGTTAAACCTAGAGAGCCAGACAAACCTACCAAGGTTTCACCTAAACGGATCGTCTTTTTTATTTCTTGAATTGTGTATTAGGCACTTTTAAATATAACCATTTCGTGGACAATTTTATATATATATATATATATATATATATATATATATAGAATAATGAGAAGCCGCGTATACTTTCTTAATATGTATATATAGAAAAAGTTGCAAATTAAAAAAATAATAATGTTTTCTTATGAAAGTATTTATTTATTTATATATAAATAAATACTTTCATAAAAAACATTATTATTTTTTTAATTTGCAACTTTTATATATATACATGTATATGTATATATATGCGCTTATTCTTACAGTTATGACGCACCTCTGCATTTTTGCGATGTATATTGAAGGATAGGCTTAGCGTTTAATATACAATTTATTTAGATGCATATAAATGCTTGTTTCTGTCTTTTACTAGAATGAAAATGAACGTTTAATGCGGATCGAACATGCTGGCTATGGCATTCACGCTTAAAATAATCTCCTGAACTAGGATTTGTCGGTTTTACAAATAGACAAATAAATAGAGGCGACCAATTGAAATACGGGCGTGTTTTCCAACGCCATTATTCGAACAGTCCTTTTGATGTCAAAAAGGAAATGGAATAAGAGCCAGAAATTGAAGTGCTGGCTTTTCAGTACGATCTTTGCTGTGAAGATTTCGTCCTAATTTTTTAAACTTCATTTTTCTTTTACTTTTGTGCAGGCTGTTCAAATTATATTTATTTTTAAATTGAAATGCTCCAATAGAAGCTTTTTTTGTCTTTCTACTTGGTATGAAAAAAAAATGAATAGGATGCTTTCATGTGGGATGTATTTACTATTACTAATATATAATACACTCTTGTATATTTATATATTTCTCACTACCAAAAATCCATTAAAAATATTCTCCACTTTTCGAACTTTAAAGAAAGACTCTAAAAACTAGTTCGCCGAATATAAAGTAAAATGTGCCTTTAACGAATAACTACTAAAAATAAATGCATTACTTCTTTAAAAAATACTTTGTTTACGTATGGATAAGAAACTGAGCAGATATAATAATTTCGAGGAATCTGTAACGAGAAGGATTTCGCTTAAAGGCACTGTTCAGATCTTGCTTGACCGGCAAAGCTTCTTTGTGACTGAGTTGGCTAAGGGACGTCGAATATAACGGAGGTTTCCCCTTTGCCCGGGGGACGCAGGTTTGAATCCTGCCGGAGAACGCATAATTTCCTTTAATAAAATTTCTCGAACATTCACACCGGTAGGCATAAGTAAACAAAGCATCTACTAAAATACATGTATCCACTAAAAATAACATTTAAAAAATCTGTCTGATATAGATATATATATATGTGTGTGTGTTTTCCTATTTTTACAAACACGTCAAATTTTATACTCTTGTCAGTCGTAAAATTTACAAGTACAAATGGAATGACTTGTTGGTATAGAGAGTTTAAAATCTCGTCCAAATCCTAAATACTGCTTAATTACTCGAAATAAATCCTAAATGTTGCTTATTGAATCGAACCAGCCGTATTTATGCACACTTTGCAATTTGAAGGAACAAAAGATGTATACAAATGAATAAAATTAGACCCAAGAGGAGAAATACAAAAACCTCGCAAATTATATCTTCCTTTTTCTGTGTTACTTTCTAATTTATTTATTCGTTTTCATTTAGTGTTGGAAAATTCGAGATTATAGAAAGAAAAAATACAGCGACGCTTACAGTGTTTCATTTTTTTTTGTTGTTGTTTTTTTTTTTTACTAATGTTCCCACGTCATTCCAAGTCATGTGATTGTGCGAGTTGCAAGCAGTCCCCTACTTGTGATGAAGCCACGTGACAAACGAAGACATACAGAAAGAAAAGCTCCAGAGAGACGCACAAGCGACCATTGATCGACAACAAATCAATTCATGAGACAGCAGCCGCCACAGTCAACTGGTAGGTACATAACCACAAGTTTCCGGTTGAATCAATTGGTTATTTGAGTAGCCTGGCCTGCATACCAAGTCTCCATCAAATACTTAATTTAGTTCGAACCCCCCACCCCGCAAAAAAAAAAAGAATCGTGCGTCTTATATACACCTGAATAGCTTTCTTTAGTAAAAGCCAATGTATTCATGGCAAGTTGCTTGAAGAATAAGTTTGTGTTTTAGGTAAGTCTGGCTCAAGGCCATAAGTGTGAAGCACCCAGTGAGGACCAAACTCACTAGACAAAAGTGTGTTCTACTAAATTAGCTTCTTAGCTATAGACCGCCCCTCAGTATAGTTCCCCACCTCTCTCTCTCTCTCTCTCTCTCTCTCTCTCTGTGTGTGTGTGTGTGTGTCTTATCACGTTGAAACACCGGTTCCCGTACGATCACCGACGTTAAGCAACCTCGAGCCTGGCCAGTAACTAGAGGGGTGACCGCTTGGGAATACCAGGTGTTAAAAGCTTGAATGTGCAGGTGGTGTAATGTATAATGGCTTGGAATTTTTAATCACTCAGCAACGAAAGACTTCATCAAAACAAGGCTAGGTTGCTTCGTAGAAATATTAATGCGTCTTTGGGAGTACCTTTATTAGAAAAAATAACAGAACTTATATTATAGTGATTTTCTAGGCGTAGCTTAGATGTGACAAAAGGCTGAAAGTATGGGGCACCCAGTGAGGATCGAACTCATTATTCAGTCGTAACTGATCTAGCAAGACAAGCTCGCTAACCGTTGCATCACGTCGAAGTGCCCAACAGAATTGATATTGTGATTTCAATCAATCTCCAACTTTTCCATTATTTTTTATCAACACATTCTTGAAATCTTCCATAGATGGTTTAAAAATATTAAGGGGGAGATATCTTTAATAGAAATGGTGCTTCTGTAGAAGTATTAACATTTTCTTAATCGCCCTATATATAGGCACTGTATGTATATACCTCTGGTTACATACTTTTGCATGTATGTACGAACTTGTTTTCTCAATTATCGATCCTCAGATTTTATTTTAAGATTTATTTGGCTGGTATAATTAATTAATGGGGGAAAATATGAACATGCGCACTCGTCGCCTATTAACCACAAAATAGTTTTAGTCATTTTGAGTTGCTAACTGTAATGTGTCTGTTTTAAAATTAAATAAAAATCCAAATTATTTGAGGACTTACTGGAATCAATATTTTCTATTTTAGTCGAGGTGAGAGCAAAGAATATTTCATGTGTGAGCGTTATTTCACGTCTTATTGGCTGTTTAATATTGCTTATGTTGAAGAAACAGAAACGACGGAGTTATTTTTCAAAAATTTTTCCTTATAGTTTTACCGTATTGTTCCGTAAAAAAAAGTACAAATTTATTTAAACATTTTAACGTTTGTAATCAGTTAAGCTTTTGTCATGTCGAATAGAAACAGAAATATTTTCAGATTACACTGGAATAAACTACTTCTTCGCTTGTGCTAAATCAGAAGGAAAAACAATTATGCTGTGATCTTTGACAGTCAAACGAAATTGATTGGATGAGCTATGGGCTTGATTCTTTTAAATTAAATCTAAATTAAATCAGACGAACAGAAATCTGTACAAGATTTAATTTCAACTACTCAAAACCGATGCCTAATCTAATGAATTCCTTTTTTTAAATTTGTCTGTACTTTTTTTCGACGTGGAAAAATAGGATTTTGAGGTGAAGTTTAACGATTTTAGAAATACCTTTTTTTCTTTATTAAATCAATTAAGATAACAAATAGCGTAATGGATAGCGGCTCGGTTTGAGAAATCGGGGAGCCGAGTTCGAATTTCATTCGAGTTCACCGCATTCACTTACGTACTAATACCCTTGGGAAAAGTATGAATCTGTTCTCATTATCTGTGTAAAAAGCAAGTTCAGATCCTGTCCGATTCTGTTATGTTCACCATTATCCTTGTGAAAGGCATGAATCTGTTTCTTCTTCTCCCCCCCCCAATGCGTTAAATAGTAGAGTAGACCAGGATTTCGCGTCTTGGGTAGCACCCAGTCTAGGAGTACAATACTAAATTCGAAAATAATTTCGTGGAGAAGGCAACTTCATTGCCAAGTACTGATATATATTAAAGAAACTGAAGCGCCATGTTCGCCTTCGTCCTAAATGGATATGGTATTTAAAATACTTATTGAATCCGGTAGAAAAATCTTAGTTCCTTAGAGGTATCAATTTAATTTCTCCTGTACTGATTTATCTTGAACAGTAACGATTATCGTTTGCAACCGTTCGTTGTAAAACTTTAATTTCTCTTTTAATGTTCTTCATTCTTTCTCCGGCAAAAAAAGCATCTTTGTGCTTTGTAAAAAGCAATATTACAGAACAATTTCCTTCAAAATTTATATTTCTGCTTTTCTTTACTTTTTTTCTCATTGAAAACTTACCAGAAACAAATGAACATTTTTGTTTTTATATAGCTTTTGTTTTGTTTATGCTTTTACATTTTTGTTTTGTTTTTTTAATCATTTCACCCCAAGCAAGGAGAACAAAGCTACTTGTGGGCAGGAGTATATTGATAGTAAAAGTAACAGAAAGTTCAATAAAAGAAAGTAAAAGAAAGTTCAACAAAAGAAAGTGAAAGTAAAAGAAAGTTCAATAAAAGAAAGTGAAAGTAAAAGAAAGTGAAAGTAAAAAAACAGACATTAAGGAGACAGATGATGATTGATATTGCATTTACATTTTTGAAGATCGTAACTAACAAGAAAGCAAAAATCCGAAAGAGAGTTCTATAAACGAGAAGTGTTAGAGAAGAAACTATTAGCATACGGTTACAAATAACAATTTAAACAGTGAAATTATGAAAATTGGCTGCCAATCTAGTATTGTGCTTAAATTCGTAAAGTCGAGTTACCAAAGAGGAAAGATCATCTGGACAATTATCATGAAAATATAAAAAAAGACACGGGGAAGCTACATTAAGGCTTTGAAAAGTGACTGAAAACGAAATGTCCGGTAAGGACAGATAACATTGTTTGTTGTTCTTAGGGTTTTGGCAAAAATCTCAAGAGGTACAGCAGAAGCAATGGAGCAGACGAATGGTAGACTTCTAAATGTGCAAGATAAATTCTGGCGAGAAAAATTGTTTCGCATAACACGGTGAGCCAACCTTCATAGTAGCAGACCTAGCAATTGATTTAATATAATTGTTCCGCTTCATATCAGTGGAAAACGAGAGACCAAGAAGGCTCAGTGAGTTTCTCTGATAGAGGATTACATCAGAAATGCCGATGGAAGGCAAGAAACGGTTCTTTAATGTGGTTAATAGAGAGCAGTTTCTGTATTTTGTTTTTGTTTAATGTTATTAAATGCTCAAGGCCGATAACAATGAAACTTGATAAAAGTAATTAATGACAATAACAAATTATTCCTTGACAACAAAGATTGTAAAGTACACCTCTGCTAATGCACACATATATCATATATATATATATGTGTGTGTGTGTGTGTGTGTGTATTTAGGCAGCATATTTTCATTCAAGCAGGTTTAGTTAAATAACTTTGACGTATTTTCTCTATTTATTTTAGTTGTAATCCTTTCAAGTCCACAAATTAATTTCTTGGTGGCTGTAAAAAATATTAAACAAACCCTCATTAATAATGACTTTCATAATTATATCGTTGATGAACAAATAAAACGAGCTATTGGGAATATGAACATAAGTAAAAATGAACGTAATACATCCTCAAATAACTCTAAACATATCAAACAACTATATCGCAATCGAATGCATTCTAACTATAAACAAAAGGAAAAAATTCTAAAAAGACTCATAAACACTAATATATCCCCCTCTGATCCAAGCAAAAAAATAAAATTAATTATGTACTATACTAAATTTAATACAACCCAACTAGTCGGCGAAAACAATTCTTCTCCGTCAACTAGCATCTTATAAAAACGAGCATTGTATATCAATTTAAATTTCCTTTGGGATATTGCATCTCTGATAAAGATGTTAATACATATGTTGTTTTTTACAACGACGAAGTTGAAGAGACGTCTTACGTTTTACTTGAATGAGCATAGTTCAATTTCAGAACATTTAAGGAAACACTCATATCCACATTCACAGTTTAGACAAATATTAGTCGAAAATAACAATACTTCATTAAAATAATAAGTAAAAACTTAAAATTCTGGAAGAAAATTGCGCCCCAAAAATAAATAAAGTCAACTATGAGCAACAAAGTTCTTAAATGTTTGTAGTAACAAAGATTTATATAAAAATAATAAATTAAAATATTATAATTAAATCTTTACCTTTTGTAGTAACAAAGATTTATATAAAAATAATAAATTAAAATATTATAATTAAATCTTTACCTTTTGTAGTAACAAAGATTTATATAAAAATAATAAATTAAAATATTATAATTAAATCTTTACCTTTTGTAGCAACAAAGATTTATATAAAAATAATAAATTAAAATATTAATAATTAAATCTTTACCTTTTTCTTTTTTTAAAAAATTCAAAAAGTTACTTCACTTGCATAAGTGAAAATTTTGAATTTGAAACTCTGTAGTAAACGAACAGTGAAAAAATTATTTTTAATTTACGGAGCATTGTATATACATCCAGAGATATTTTAACCCCCCCCCCACACACACACCGCCCCGAAGATGGTCTTACATGAGATTGAAAGAAAAATTTTTGTATTTTTCTTCATCAATTTTCTACAGCCACCAAGAAATTAATTTGTGAACTTGAAAGGTTTAAAACTAAAATAAATAAACATACTTCTAAATTATTTAACCAAACCTACTAGAATATATATATATATATATATATATATATATATATATATATATATTTGAAAAATTTTTGAAAAAGTGAAAAAAGTTTCCGTGTAAAGCGTTTCGTCCGATGAAGTCCTAAAGGAGGAAACGTGTTCCACTTTGTCTTACATTTTTCACTAATATTGTTCTTGATATATAAAAATTTATATATCGTTATCTCATATATATATATATATTCACACGCGCATCTCATATTATATATATATATTCACACGCGCATGCGTATGTGTGTGAGTGTGATAATGAGGCAAATCGATGAGTCCAGTTAAAACTGATTAAATTTTGAGCACATCCTGTTACAAGAAAAAGAAAATCGGTATAACGTGTAAAAGAGAAAACCTAGTACACGGAATGATATGAAGTAAATCAATTCGAAAACCAGTGAGATTCATTTGATGACTCATCACCAAGCACATATACATACATATACAAATAGTAAGATAATGAACAAAACGTTTATAAATTTAACATGTTTCGGTTTTATTTAAGCTTCGTCAGAAATGAAATATGGAAGAGAAAAGGTAATTCACATTTTTTTTAATTCTGACCTGTGTTTTTCATTGGTTAAATAGACCTCACGTGTATTTGTCTTGTCAGGTAGTGTTCGTATGTATACTTCTCGAGTGTTTGTGTATCATAATTCTAGTTGGTCTATGCGAGATTTGGTGGATAAATGGTGTGCGTGTGTGCATTTGTGCGTCGAGTTGGCATTTTTATTTCTATCTCGTAGTGACCGTATGTTTTGCGTGGGAGTGAAATAATTTAGATTATACCGCTTGTGGTTGGGGTAGACTGATCTTAGATTCCTTAAGGATGGATTTTTAAAATGTTGTTGATATAATAAATTGTGTTTATGTGTGAAAATATTTATAAGAGTTCCTGATATATATATATATATATATATATATATATATATATATATATATATATACGGGGAGATGCTGAAAATATAACAAGATGACCAAGACCAAGTAACATAATTTTTTTTAAATTTTCTTGCTGATAGAGAGAAATTCATGAATCAATATGTCAATCGAATAAAGTTTGTGCTTTGAGAAGAGTTGTATTATTGATCGCGGTCTAATAATGTGTTGTGCAAACGGGACGCGTTCAGTAAATCCCATAGCAGCACTTACCTACTAATTACTTTTACTCTGTTAAAAACTTTTAAAATCTTTCGCATAAATTGCCTTCAGTTATCATATTACCTAATGTAATATATATATTAATAAATATAACACACATACACACATATATATATATATATATATATATATATATGTGTGTGTGTGTGTATATATATATATATATATATATATATATATATATATATATATATATATACGGAGAGTGTCCCCGCAAAATTGACATCAATTAAAATGTGAATATCTGAGTAACTACCGGTCCCAGGCAAACGAAATTAAATAGGCTTCATGTTGAACAAAGCAATAAAAGATTTCAAAATTCGAACAGGATATTCAAAGGGATGTAGATTTTATAACCGATTTCACAAATCTTCATAAATGTTCAATATGCTCACCACCTATAACACGACACACGTCAAGTCGGTAGTCCAGCTCCTACCAAACACGCAGTAGCATGTCTTGCGTAACATTCTCCAGTGTCTCAGTTATTCTCTGCTTAAGTTCCTCTAGACTTATAGGAAGATGGATGATATTGATCTGTCTTTTCACATAGCCCCATAGAAAAAAATCTTAAAGGTCTTAAGGGAACATGGTGGACTTTTCAACAGTACATTGTCATTATTACTGGCTCACCCGATCCATCTTCGTGGTAGTTTCTCATTCAAATATGTCCACATAATCAACTTAGTTTCACACACACTGTATATATATTATAATATATAGTTATATATATATATATGTGCGTGTGTGTGTGTTTTTACTAGATTTCAACTACATCGCTCTAGTAAAGCATACTTGATTATCTTAAGCACACGTATTTATACGTGAACGCGTTTTGGTGAAAATGGATGCTTCTAGTCTTGAACCTGCACGTTGGCAGTGAATTTAGTCATCAGCACCACCATCATAAAAGAAGCGATCAGCAAAGTAGAAATTAAATTCTTGGATACGCGATAAAGCCGACGACGACAAATTTATAACAAAACGATGTCAATTATTACCGAGTAGTGTGTTAGATCCTCCCTAGGTGCTCCTTATTTTCGGCCTTGTGCTTCGCTTAGTAAATTACTATAACAAAACGATGTTAAGCCAATTTCGAACGGATGTATGCTTGCCTACCTACATAGTTTTTGCCATTTCTTTGCTGAAGTATATCATTTCTCCATTTATGGTTTTAGCAGCATTGAGTACTTAGGTGACTTAGAAGTCCTGCTTCACTTCTGTAAGCTTTCCTACATATGTGGTAGACGAAATACTTGTATATGGTCTTCGATTTTTCCCGGTTCTCATATGACTCTTCAGATCTGCTACTGACCCACATACATTGTCACAAAAAAAAAAAAAAATTTATGTTAAGTTGTTCTGGATAACTATCAATATAATCTGCTTACCGTCATAAGATGTTATATGACTAGAAAAATACTGATTTGGAGGAGAAGACCCTACTACAGATGTTGCATGTATGTTCAGGCTGAAGATTACCTGAGATTTAGGATATGAACTATTTTCTAAGAGCTCGTTTCAAAATTGCACAATCAACCGTCTTTTCCTTGTATGCCATCGTTTACCATTTTTTCTCCACAGAGATCAATTTTTTATCAACGTTTTCCAGCTCTCAGCAGCAATAAAAAATATTGTGCATCGCATTGATAAGCGAGACACGTTCAGTAAACCCCGTGGCAGCACTTACCTACCAATTATTTTTACACTATTATAGCCATTTAAAACCTTTCGCGTAAATTGCCTGCAGTTATTATATTACTCAATGCAATATATATATATATATATATATATATATATATATATATATATATATATATATATATATATATATATATATATATATATATATATCACCCAATGTAATGTAGGTTTTAAGATTTCTTACACTAATATTCTTAAAACGTTTTGTATGTGTTTCAGGCGTTTACCACGTAATAGCTGTAAACTAACATTCTAGTAAGGTATCCTAACAATCTCATTTGGCTACATGTGAGGAGCTTTTTGATACGGGATGCATTAGAACGTTTTCGGGTGTAAAGGACTGATACATGATGTTCAAGATTCTCCTAACATAATTTTTGATAGAAAGTCTTCAAAACTTTAATGTGATGAATTACATGGTCCAAGTCTTAGAGAAATACAAAAGAGTAATTAACACATGATTCATACATGCCGAGTTTCGGGACACCTCGACGTGGTGTAATGGTTAAAAAGCTTGTTTTGCTAGATCAATTACGACTGAGTAGTGAGTTCAATCCTCACTGGTTGCTCCAAACTTTCGGCCTTGTGCCACATCTAAGCTGGGCTTAGAAAATCACTACATGCCGAGTTTAGTGCTGATGGTTATGCCTCTATCTAACTAAACTAATTTCTCTAGTTTTCCAATGGCTTTGCTAGTTTTCTCAATCCTCAGATTGTAATTTGGGATTGAGAGAACCATTTCTGGTGTGTATACTGTCTAAATAGATGAATGTATCCACTACGTCCAATCAGATTTATTTTCTGTCAATGTTTCCAAGCACTCAGAATCAATACCAGGTGTTATCAGATATTTTTTAACAATACAATTTTTGGTTGATGTTTTACATGTTTACCACACAGTTTAGATGATCTGTTATCTCTTATTTTAGTAAGATCTCCTGGTCATTTAATTTGGTGTACAAATGATGAGCTTCTTGAAATAAATATGTTGGCCCACTGAAGAAGAACAGTGACAAGTATAAAGGATTCATGATTCTCTTAAGACACTTTTGATCGAATCTCTCCAAAACTTGATGATTACATGATTCAATTCTTAGAGGAACACAAAAGAGTGATTAACACATGATTCATACATTCTGAATTTAGTTCCTCTATCTAACTAAACTCATTTCTCTAGTTTTCCAATGGATTTGCTAGCTTTCCTAATCCTCAGATTATTCCAACCCTCGCCTTGCATTTCAGGGTTGACTGATTAATTGATTTGCTTTCTACGGCTTATCAATCCTTTGCGAGTTATTTAAAGTCAGAAAATATTTTTAGATTGTAAGATTTTTTTTGTTTAAAATATTAATGGTTTATTGATACAAGTCTTACTAATTAACCCATAATTGGGGGATTCACACTTTCCCCAAGGGTATTTGCGGGAATTGAAACTCGGCTATCTGATCAACAATTCCGAGCCATAATCACTTGCACCATCCGTACATCCAACGTTACAGCACCTAGTATTCCCAAGCGGTAACCTATCTAGGTAATGACCAGGTTCGACGTTGCTTAACTTCAGTTATCGTACGGGAACCGGTGTTTCAACGTGATGTGGCCGTAAACCTCGGGATTGCGAGAACCGTTCTAGGAGAGTATGGTATTAAAATAGATGAATGTATCCACTACATTCAATGTTGTGCCTTGAACATACATACATACATATATACATACATACGATTTCAATCTTTCTTAAGATTTATTAAGCATTATGCTAAAATCTAAAAACGTTTGGCTATATTACAGAGATTAAGTATTGTAATTATTTACACTGTTTACATTGTTCGGACTGTTGTCTTCATCTTTATTGTCATATTCACGAAGTTTCGGCCATTGTACGCTCCGGCCATCTTCAGGTGATATACGTTGGATTTTCGAACCGAATCCTTTATTTAGTCCACTGGGTTAGATCTCTCTATCGTTCCACGTGCCATGCCTTTTCTGGATATCTCAGTTTCAGTTATTTCCCTTTAGTAACTCAATTGGGGACACTTAGCACAATTGATAAAAGCGTTGGTTGAAATAATCTATTGACTTGACCCAAAGAGTTGGGAGTTCAATAAAGAGTTGTGAGTTCAATACCAGGCCACAGCAGGGGTGAACAAAAATTTGGAGATTTGAGTTGCTAAACAGAAATAACTGCGTGTTCTCATATAAGCAATTAAAGAAGTATACAAAAACTTGGTTTTCTACAACGGACCGTTTATTCTCTGTTTATATCAACTGTAATGAAACAAAGTTCTCAATGTCTCTTGGGTATGTCCGTCTTCTTTTTGGCGTAGAAGTTAGAATAAGTAAGTATAAGCATCGTTATAATGGTCGCCCTCAAGTTAGTCTTGCACAGCGTTGGAACAACCAAAGAAATTTTGTACTGGTTATGGTATGTCTTTTCGTAAGTAAGGATAAGCATCATTATAATGATTGCGCTCAAGTTATCGTTGCGCTGAGTTGGAACGGCCAAAGAAAACTTATTTTACTTCATCTGTGTATTGTCGCCTTGCGTTGAGTTGGAACGACTAAAGAAAAAGTTAATTTTCTTTATAGGTGGAGGTTTTGGAAGACACGTGCGAACGCCATGCGTTGGAAAGTGAAAATAGAGTTCAGTCGTCAGCAACCCGGAGAAGACGAGATGTTCCCAGCGGGAACATAATTTCCACACTGTGCTACATCTCGTAGTAAGGTGGGAGTGGAGATAGTAGGGAAGGAAAATATTTGTTCTTTTATAGACTTAACAAGCGCCGCCTAACGACGTTTGTCGAAGCTATGTCGGATAATAATATTTCCGGTTCCTTTAATACTAGCATCATGGAAAAATTTATTTCTTTTTTTATTATTAATTATTATTATTATTATTTTAATATTGATTTTATTTAATTTTCCCACAGAATAATTCCAAAATATTAACGCGATGATTACATCATCTGAGTCTCAGAGGAGCACAAAAAGTGGAAAACACACGCTTCATACATGCTGATCTTGGTAATGATGGTTATGCCACTAATTAATCAAATTAATTTCTCTAGTTTTCCAAAGGCTTTACTAGCTTTCTTAATTGCATTTCGTTCCCCTGTAAGTGTGTGTGTGTGTGTAACCGGGCGCTCAAAATTTGATCTGGAGTAAATTTTGAAGACGCTCATTAATAAAGGAATGCAAATTGAGAGTAAAACTCCTTCGGTCTAAAACTTGCCCTAGGGTAGCATTCCCCAAATCGCTTTCACTTCATTACGAGAATTGGCATCTGGCTTGCGATTACACCCCATAAAAATCTAAGGATTTTGCAACGATTTCTTCTGAATAGTTTCGCGCCCTAAAGGACACAAAAGAAATTAATTATGATCGGGACTGCTTCGTTTTACCCGATTATTTATTATCAAGGGAAAATCGTACCAAATTTCTTACCAATTATTATATTAAGAACAGACAATGTACAATTCTAATTCTGGTACTTGAATAAAAAAAAAAGGTGAAAGCATAAGTTAATCTGAAAATGTCTTTCATCACGTTGAGAATACTTTATCGAAAAAAATGGCTTCAACAATTAATCTATGTACATAGAATAATCCCTAGATGTGAATTAGTGTCATTTTTGAAGGTAATTGGAGGGAAATCAAATTAGCAAACTGAGTTCAAAATGTTGTTTGGAGACGTGTCATTATCGCGCTGTTCTTCGATAAAATCTCTCCATTGTGTCTTATCATCAAACGCATTATAATAATAGGAGTTTAGCGTCTCTTTTTGACTCTAATAAAAATGGGGTCTTAATGACACATTTGATTATATTCAGGTTTCTTGTCACTATAGTGACATTCAAAGCATCATTATGTCTTAACTAACGGAAGATTGAAGAAACTCATAAGAACACAAACATACCTAGCCTGAAAAGAGTTATTGACTGGATTTCGAACTGAAATTTAACTTCAGAATAAGAAAAATAGCAGATAATATCAAAATACTATGCAGTATTCATTATAACGAAAGACTAGAGGCTATTATTATACAAAAGAATCAACCCACATTAAATATATCTTATATATATTTGTGTGTGTGTGTTTTGGGCGCGTGGCCGAATGGTTATAACGTATGCTTTCTGAGACCCGGGTTCGAATCTCACTATGATCGATTTGTCAAGAAGGCAAATTCCTGATGGTATCGGACTGGATCGGTGTTGATCCCGGCGTGCGGCACTTTTGGAAAGTGCTTGAAAACCATACCATGGATTGACCCAAGCCTTGTGGGGGTAACTGGGCAGACGGAACTCTAGTGGGCCGTCGATAGCTGTGCTAGCATGAAGCCATAAGTCATCATGGCCGAGTGCTGGCCTTGTTCAAATTCTTGTTAGACGACACGCTTTTTCCCAGAAACTGTAACTAAGGTCTGCTCAGCATAGATGCAGTATAAACCACAGGTAGGCTCTGTGGGTGTTGAGCAAAGCGTCTGAGAGAGCGTCTTCAATAGGAATTGCCTAGCTGCCCTAGTAGACGGATAGCCTTTTTTATGTATTTATTTTTCTCAATAGAAGTACGCCTATCGTCCGGTTTATACTCCTTCCCGGACAGGAGTAGAGATTTATCATTTGTTTAGGATTGGGTTTCTGGTGCCTTCTAAAGTTTTCTCATTAAGTTTCATTCTTAGTAAACTCTAGCGTCTTGCTTGGAGTGAATTGATTAAAAAAAATAATTGATTCAATCTTTTCTCTTGCCGCCTACCTCCGTGTGATCATTTTATACATGCCGTCATTTTGATTTAATTTGAATAGTTACAAAATAATAATAGGGTGTAGCCAACAGAATCTTGACGAGCACACTGACAACACCCAGTTGAGGATAATAATTCAGACAGTCGAAAGTAACTGAGAAAAAAAAAAGGGACCAAATAGCAACTTTGAACAGTTTATCCAAAATTGTTATCCCGATTCTTGGTGATATATATATATATAATGTATATTCGGACAGGAGCCTTTCTTTATAACATGTTACGTTGAATATGATACACAATTTGTTTTATTGAGGTTTTCTAGTATTCTTAAATGTTTCTGTTTGGTGGCGGTAAGATAAGAGAGTATAAAAACTATACGTAATGCCAATTGTCCTAAGTGCATTCGGCCACGACTTTAGCCATTTTCAAGGGGTTTGTTGTTAGTTGTTGTTAATTTCTTTTCAAGGTTGTCTTTTAACTTTCATTTTTGTGACGCTGATTTAATGGTAGTAGCGTTTATTCCGAGCCCGTGAAGGGAATGTGGCTGAGATTCAAATTTTAAAAAAGAAATCTTTAGCACATTATTTCCGTTGTTAAATAAAGTGAGATTAATACTGGGTGGCAGATGTTTTATGTAAAATGCTTCTCTCAAGATGTTTACGGTTACGTTATATATATATATATATATATATATATATATATATATATAGAGAGAGAGAGAGAGAGAGAGAGAGAGAGTGAGATGACCAAAAGTCGCTTTACCCATTTCTAATAATGATAAACACAAATTTATAATTAGTATAACTTTTATTTAATCATCATACAATTATAATGTCAATATAACAGTTACATTTTCTTTATTTTCGTCGGTATTCACATGTTTTGAGCGCCATCTTCTTTTCTACCATCTATCTGTTTTTAAAGCGTTTAGAAATTTGTGTTTATTATTATTGGAAATGGGGAAAGCAACTTTTCACCATATATATATATATATATATATTATGGGGTTGCCACTTTAGTTCTAACTTTGCACTTTGCTTCAGAAAGTGAGTTTGTCTGAAAGTTTTGTCATCATATTTCTGTCAACGGCTCCCGTCGTCCAATGCCATTAACTAATTCCTGCGAGAAATGGTGGTCCTTTTTAAGGGGGTGCTTTATCGTCCGTAAATGAAGCTCTTCAGTAAACGATATTCTTCGGTCTTTGTCATATGGTCTTCCACGCACAGTTCGTATATTTGCAGCATAGTTTCAATGCTTTTAACATTATCTTGAGGACTTTGGTGTTTGTTACAAAGCCTCCCCGGTACACATTGAGCCAACACTAATGAAAACGTTCAAGATATAGAAGGCGCTAGTAGATGACCCAGAATTCGATTCTATAAAAAACAGTAGACAGCTAAACTCTTGTTTTCGTCTCACTTTTGGAATGCCTTTTACTATTCATCGAATGATCTCTTAATAAACTGAAATGCTATAAACAGCCATTCTATGAATGGTTTCTCCATCTCCAACTAAATGGACTAAACTTGACGATTTATCTATTTTTCTCCAATGTACCTTAAGGACGTAGCGATCATGGCTCTCTCCAACTTCTTATCCGCAGTAGCTCTAAGTAAGTTTTTCCCTTTAATTTTCCTTCCAATTCATGTTCTGTCATCCATTTACAGAAGCTTGTTTGGTAGGTCGCTCGCTGTCAAAATTCCCCAAGTCCTCTTTCCAGGTACGCTACTGCCTTCCCATGTTTTCCAGATTTAAGCCTCATTAAGTATATATGAGATATGTTGCATAACTCACTAAGTTATCTGCAACCGCAAGCACAACTCAATTATGGAGAGCCCAGAAATGTGCTTGGATATGATGATGGGAGGA